TACCTAGGCCCACATTTATATAGATCCTGTTCTCGTCACGCTTGTGGGAACTTTACTCCTACAGTGGCCCAGAACGCAAGCGCAGTCACTTGCAAGAAGCCCGTTGGCAACCTTCAGACTCCCTATCGCATAGCTGACATCACGATGCTATGCATTTCCGCGCTATTTATCACCACACGCATCGTATACAAACTCATCTTCACTATCCAAGACATATGGTGGGATGACTACACTCTTATCCTCACATTTGCCCTGAGCATCGCAGGCACAGTCGTGTCCGACCTCGGCAGCATCCCCGCCGGCTTCGGGCTGGACATTTGGACGCTGACCCTGGACCAAATCGCATCATTTGCCCAACTGCTATGGATCAGCGCCCTGCTGTACTTTATCAAGCTCACCTTCCTCCGCCTCTCCCTCCTCTTCTTCTTCGCCCGCATCTTCAACAGAGGGATAACCTTGCAAATCATCTACGCTACCATGGCCTTCAACATATGCTTTGGCATCGCCCTTACCTTCGCCCTGGCATTCAGCTGCCACCCTGTTGACTACTTCTGGACAAAATACATTGACAAGAGCATACCGGGCAAGTGCGTAAACAGCACAGCGATAACATGGGCTCATGCTGTCATTGGCATTGTGCTTGATTTCTGGATGCTGTCAATTCCCTTGTATAAGGTGTGGAAGCTGCATCTCCCGCTGCGAAAGAAACTCGCCATCACGCCCATGTTCATGGTTGGCTTTGCGGCTACCATGGTGGCGATTCTACGCCTTAGGACTATCCATCGTACTACTGTGTCTAGTCTCACCAATCCTACTATGAATCGTGTTGAGATTAATATCTGGTCGTAAGTACCACTACTACATTCCCTAACCTACTTTTCACTCCCTCGCTTTTTTCCATACCTCCTCACCATCTCCACAACCCCACAAAACTAACTCCCCATCCCCCAGCATCGCCGAAGTAAGCGTAGGCATAATCTGCGCCTGCATGCCCACCCTGCGCCTCATGCTCTTCCGCATGTTCCCCGCCCTCTCCAAAGACGCATCCACCTCGAACAAATACTCCAGCAGCAACCGGCCCAGCAAAAACACAAAGGGCTCCAGCACTAAACACTCGACAAATCGCAAATACGGTATCACGTGCGAGACGTCGATTGACCAGGAGGAATCATATTGGAAGGAGTCGGAGCAGAGGGGGAGTAAGGATTGTGTGGTGGTTGAGGGGGACGGGGATGGATATGGGGCGGCGGATGTGAATACCGATGTAGGCAGGGATGTAGATGTTGTGGCGGTGACGGCACAGCATGATAGGAGGGGTACTGATCCTGGGCATTCGGATGATGAAGTGGAGTTGCTGGTTTTGGATGAGCATGGGCGCGCTAAGTTTGAGCCGTAGCTTTGTCAAAATATTATACCTTATCTAACCTATTACTCCTGTGTCTCCGCCCCTTGATGATTGGCATTTGAGATGCCTGGTTGCGATTGTGGTTGCATCCATTGGGGTCTTAGTGAATTGAAAATCTGTTACAGGACTGTTCAGGGGGATTGCTTTGGCTTTGATGCTTAGAGCAATAGGTGGTATTCATCTATCTACTACCATGTCTGCGTGGAAGAGAGATATAGCTATCGCATATGTCGATGTTCTACACATGACGTTGTAGCTGCGCAGGCATCATCGAAAGCATAGTGATCTACTTGAAAGCGATGGTAGTTTCGTAACACTTCGCCGATATTGCAAACTACTCTTTCGTATATGAGTAGGCAGTGTGCTAGACTCATAGAATTGTCTGACTCGAGTATGTACTTTAATACTTAAGAAATTCAAGTCATGCGTCTCTAACTACAGTTATATTGTGCCGTGGCACGGTGTGAATGGCTAAAAATGAGGATTAGCCTAAATTGGGTGGGTTAAAGGTATAAAGGAATAGAGGATTAGAGGATACAATAGTAGCACTCCTTAACACTTTACTTTAACTTATTAATAATAATTCTTCTCCCTCAATATATTATTTAACTGATATTATTTACTATAAAATATTTTTTATTAAGTCTAACCTCTCCTCCTTCTCTATATTTAAATAGGGTACTATCCCTAATAGTTTAAATAGTAAGGCCTAAGGGGAACCGATCTTGTCTTTATAAAGGGGAGGGTTTAGTAGTAGATAACTAAGAAGATAGTTTTCCTAGTATAAGGGGGGTAGATACAAATTAGAAAATAGGTAGTAGTAGTATTGTATATTATTAAGGTAAATAATTAATAGTATTAAGGTAAAACGAGTAGGCCTATTATAGGACGTAGTTAACGCGCATTAGTAGGAATAGAATAATAACACTAAGAGGGTAAGTATAATATTAGGAATATTAGAAATAGTATTATTATTAGAAATATTAGTAATATTAGAACTATTAGAAGAATTAGAACTATTAGTAACATTAGAAATATTAGAACTATTAGCAATAGTAGAAGCGCTAGTACGCTTAGAATATTGCTAGTAATAGAAAAGTAATAGTAAAGGCTATAGGGTAGTGTGCGCTATTAGCAGGAAAATAAGGTTAGGCTAAGGCTATTAATATAATAAAGAACCTACTAAAAATAAATATAAGTGCTAGCACTATATAAGGAGACAGTTAAGGGTATAACTACTAAGGAAGAGGGGATAGTCTATAAGAGTAGAAGATAGTAGGAAAAAGAAGTAACACTATGTTATAGACTAGCATTAAGGGAGAATGTAATAAGCGTTAATACTAGTATTTAGTATCTTAAAGGAGAGGTAAGCCCTCTACGCCTTTTTATAGGTGGGTAGCGTGTTCGCTTAGTAGTAGGGTTAGACTCTATCTATCCTGTGTTAGGCCTAGGCTTAGGCATAAGCCTAGGCCCTTTATATACCCCTAAGCTTCCCTATAAGCTATTGTAAAATTATCTTTTTAGGGGTCTAGGGTTATATCTTTATCCTCTATAATCTATATTAGGCTTTATTACTATTTATTTTAGGTTTTATTATTATATCTTTATATTCCTTCCTAATTTATAATAGGCCTATATATTAAGTAGTACGCGCGCGTGCGTCTATATGCTTATTTTAGCACCCTACTATAAAAGTTTTAATATAGCTATCCTACCCTACTATAAACTTCCTAAACTTACTTTTATTATACTGCAGATTTTCCCTACTAATTAGCCTTCCCTTTACTTATTTTCTATTAATCTAGCTGTAATAATAAGGCAGAATTGCCTACCTATTGTTCTATGCCAAGTTAGGCCTAATAAAGGCCTGACTAACTAAGGTATATAGAGAACAGCTCGCCTATAGTTAGGATAGGCATGTTCTTCTTGTCCTTTCGTACAAGACCTATAGGTGTAGGAATCTTATCCTTTTCTATACAGACGCGCACTCCTATATGCCTTTAAGTTATATAGGATACCTTTTAGATGCCCTACCTACCTAAGTTATTATATTATAAGAAGAACATTATCCTAGCTAGTAATAGTATTTAAGAATATTGCACTTATTATTATTTTAAGCTACTAATTTAGTTCTAGTAGCTATCTAACCCTGCAACTCTATAGTTAGAATAGCTATTAGAACTTCTAATAACCAAAGCCTATAGGCTTAGACTTCTAGACCTATAGGTGGTGCTAGATTACCTTTAGAAAAATCGCGTTAGATTACGTTAAGGTAGAGACCTAGAGACTACTAAAAGCCTAGAGGAATTAGAGGCAAAGCTAATATCCTCCTACAACTAAACCCCCCTAAAAAGAAAAGATTTATTATTCTTATTAACTATAAAATATTAGATAAAGGCAAAGGAAGGGTATCTAGTTTAGCTACTTTTAAAAGCCTATTTACTAATAGAAAAAAATTAGATAAGGAAGACTTAATTAATAACGCCCTCCTAGAAGGACCTACTTCCTATCTATCTCTTAAGGTACCTTATGCTCCTAGGAAATCTTAAAGCAATACCTCCCTTAAAGATAAATATATATTAACCCTATCTAAAAAGGAGAGGTTAGAGGAATAAGTTAAGTAACTTACTAATTAGTTATATAACACCTCCCTCTATAAGAAGATATAGGGTACTACCTAACTAGGCTAGTCTTTAGCTTCTATATTAAACCCTATAGTATATACTATAAAAGCTAAGAGATAATCTAAAAAGACGCTAAATATCTCTATACTTAGTAATAGTGCTAATCCTATTTTTAGATAATAGCAAGCATCTATTTAGGATAGGCTAGAGATTAACGCTAATTACTACCCCTCTTCTAGAGCTTAGATAGCATTAGTCTAGGGACACTACTTAGGACTAGCAAGAGAATACTTAGAGCTATATTACCTATCTAATTCCCTAAGTCTTTAGTTCTAAAAAGCTAAAGAAATAATTACCCTCCTTTAAACTTACTTTATTACTAGAAATAAGATAGCTAAGAGTTAGACTATATTTAACTACCTATACATAACTAATATAGAGATATTCCCTGCTTTTAAGTTATAATTCTAGAGTCTTGCTATTAGAGGAGAAGTACCCTAATTAGAGTAGTATTACTACCTCTAGATAAAGATTACACCTTCCCTAAGGATACTAAACCTTGCTTTCTAATAGAATTAGCATAATAATTTTAAGACTATAGTAGATTATTTTACTACTTTTAATATAGAACGCCGCCTATACCCTACCTTATCTACTCCTACCTAGACTACTCTATTATCTAGAAAAGGACTAACCCCCTTCTAACACTCTAGAAACTAGTCCTATTTAGACGCTAATTAGAAACCCTATAATAGACCTTTAATAGCTAAACCTTATATGCCCTACTTGTAATAACAAGGCACTACCCCTTAAAACAATTAACCCCTATCTGCTACGGTAGCCACTCCTAGCGCTACTATAACAGGAACCCTAGTAACTTGCTATAATTATAGAAAGCCTAGGCACTTCTCTAGTAACTGCCCTAAACCCCCTAGGATTTAGGCTATAGATGTGGAATAGGTTGTTAAGAATTCTAAGGAAGAAGAAACTGCTAAATTAACTAATTTAGATAGCTATTAGATAGGAAATAACAACGCCTAGGAGGATCCTCCTTCCTAGGCCTAACTTAATATAACCTATTAAACCTTTCCTTAACTAAATTATTTATTAGTTCCTATTTACTTGCACGTATAACCCTATGCCTTAATAGATCTAGTATTCGCCTAAACGCTTTAATAAATACTAGGGCCTAAGGTTACTTATTTCTTAATTTAAAAATTGCTTATAATATCTCTTCTACACTTAGGGTACCTATCTAAAAGCTACTATACAAGCATACTATTAAAGGGTTCTAGGATTAGATTTCCTCCCTAGTTGCCTACTATATTTAGCTTAATATAATAGTTAGTAGCTAAAAAGTTTATAACTGCCCCTTTATAATAGTAGACTTAGGTTCTTAGGATTATATTATTAGACAATACTAGCTAAAACAGTTCTAAATCCTAATTAATACAGATAAATCTTAACTAATCTAGCTAGAGAAATATTCTCTAACCTACAACCCCGCACCTCCTATTCTAGTACAACTCTACTAGCAAGTGCTATCTACTCTAGTTACCTATAACATCTTGCAAAGAGCCGCCCTTTATAATTAAGAGGAGAACTAGAACTAAAATAGTCCTAGTTTAATTAACAGGATACGTAGTATACTTAAAATTCTAGCTACTTATAGGGCTACTACTAAAACTATTACGCCACCTACCCTAGTCTAATTACTAACTATTACCCTACCTGCAAAATTTTAAATTGCTACTATTTCTACTAATACTTTCTATTTTAATATAAAAAAATCTTCTAATAAATTCTTTACTACTAGCCTGTATAAGATTAAGTGTAGGATCTAAACCCTATCTAAATAGGACACTCTAGACTATAGCTTGTTAGATTAGAAGCTCCTATCTAACTATAACTCCTATTAGGACGTCTTTAACAAGGCTAAGTGTTGCAGGAGGGATATCAACCGGATCACGGAGCATCTTGATCCGATCAATCCCGATCAATACCCCTGTATAACCCACTATCTAATTAACTGCCAGCTTACTGCCAAGCGCCTAACAAAAAGCAGGAGCTCTAGTAAGGAAGGTTTACCGATTATTCACCTTCTAGTAAGGGTAGCTGAAGCTCTATATATATGAGTCCGATCGTAGTAGATACAATCTAATAATCTATCTCCTAAATTATTCCTAACCTTAGTGATCTAATTTTCCACAGTTATAAGCCTAGTTCGCGCTTTACCTTATTAAAGATCGTCCTATCTATTTAAGCGTATTATTCAACTTGGACACTAAGCTAGCAAAGCTTCACTCTTTCTTTATACCATTTCTTAAGCAGAAGCTTACTTATTACTCTTCCACTATAAGCGACCAA